ATGCAATACATAGTTATATTTTAAGGTTAAGCTTACCATAAGTAGACAATAATGTATGAATAAATATAAATTTTACGTATATATGCAGCCTGAAAATAGCATCTGGAGCATTAGTATGTGAGGAGAGTATTTTAAAAGGAGACATTACCATTGGGCCAAAAACTGTAATACATCCGAGAGCAAGTATCATTGCCGAAGCTGGTCCAATTATAATAGGTGAAGGGAACATTATTGAGGAAATGGCAACCATAGTGAACAGGTAATTTTTAGTTTAAGATATAGTTTTACTTATCTTATATTTTACATACAAATTACTTGTTATAGACTACCACCAAATGCTCAAGAACCAACAACAACGCCTGTGCAAATAATAGGCAGTTATAACGTATTTGAAGCTGATTGCATGTGTGAGGCGTTTAAAGTCGGAGATAATAATATCTTGGAAACCAAAGGTGATTAAATTCATTAAGTCCAATAATAAAGAAGTTATACAATTTTGAGGTGTATACAAATATTTATGGACTTCACTGTATGCATAAGTGGTAGAATTATTTCTAATAAGTTATTCTAATTATATTTTAACTTGCAGCACATGTCGGTCGTGAAGTTGAATTGACCAACGGCTGTATAATAGGAGCTTTGTGTTCATTGACAGAACCGGATACAATACCCGAAAATACTATAATATATGGGAGTGAATGTCATCGTAGAGAAATGAATGATAAACCATATGTAAGCCCATTGAATAATACATGATGTGACTTTAAATGATATATAATATTACACTCTATTTCAGCCTCCAATAAGTCAAATAGAATTTCTACATAAGATCTTACCAAGTTATCATCATATACGTAAATCGAACATGAAGCCTATGAAACTTGAGGGCGATACGTAATTTATAATGTTTATGATACAGTCACTATCTAATCAATTACTTATTAATTAAATATATCTATCTTCAATGTGCAATATGCACTTCAGAAGTTAAGAATATAGTCGAAATACATTACATATTATTATTTATTTTGTATATTGTGTACTACAAAGTATTATTATTATTATTATTTAATAAAATTTTGAAACTTATATACAATTTTTTATCCTAAATCTGGAGCTTTTCTTCCTTTGGACTATTAGATAACATCATAACTTTCTTGTCTCTACCGTAACCGCTGTATGTTGCTCACCCAGAAAATATTAGTAAAGACGTCGAGGAGAGATTATTATCTGTAACCTATAGACTTAGTAAAAAATCCAGTAATCTATTGTAAACATTCTGATTAATAAATGAATGAAAGCAAATCTTGGCATTTTTATTTCATGATTCGCGACTGAATGATCAGTCTCAGTTCTTCGCTTGATACCGTATCCAAAATCCGAGCCGAAGAACTACAGTTTAGATTAGAATTTCTGTATCTTAAATTGTACGTAGATTTTTCAATACTTTAGTTTTCTTGCTTATAGTCTTTATTATAC